ATTGCTCATCAATCCTTAGTCGCCCAACAATTTCAATTTTTGTCGTTTTAAAAACCAACTTTGAAACTCATTTACTTCGTTTATATTTTAATACTTTACAACAAATTTGCTTTTGCGGTATTTAGACAAGGAAATAAATGGTTATATAGTTTTATGTCAATTGCGAAATGAAAATGATTATATATATATCGCCAAAGGCCAAAATAATCGCTTAGGCACATATGATTTTTGGATACTAGGGATCAAAATAAGATACTTTGCTGAAGAAATCATATCTCTAAAATGTATTCTGATGTCCCGTGCGTGACCTGAAAATAAGGGTTAAAGTTTGAAATTTACAATTTTGACCCATTTGACCGACCCTCACTAACTTTCGAAGGCAGATCCTCCCATGCCCGTGGTTCAAACCCCGGGACCCCCCTGAAAGGTTTCTCAAAATTTAACCCTTATCTTTGGGTCAACGCACAAGACATCAAAATCATTTTTAAAGTTAAGGTTTCTCCAGCAAAGTATCTTATTATGATCCCTAGAATACAAAAATCATATATGCCTAAGTGACCCTTAAATCGACGCGCCTGATATAAATTGATCATAATGTGTCCTGATATTTACTACATTATGCGTCCAACGCTTATTGATCATGTTTCTTGATATTTTTACTACATATAGATCAATTTTCACAAAAGATTAAGAAAAAAATTATATGAAATCATATCAACATTATTCATTTTAACAGATGCAAACACATCCAATGTATTTTGCAATGGTGTTGATACTTTTTTAGCAACATATTTTGAAATCGTATACAATGCGCTCAGTCAAGCATTTTAAATGTTTGCCAAATGCATTGGGTAATCAAATTCTACTGATTGAAAGGCTATTGTTCCTCGATTTTGTTATCATTATATCTCCAATTTACAAAATTCAACTACATCAATATACGATTGTTAATTTTGCATCTAATAACAAAACTGTTTATGTACAATATTTTTAAATCAATTTCATATTCAACAGATGTTTATTGCAATTATTCATACTCAGTGACACTTCGATATGTACTCAATTGGCTTTGTTTTTAGTCATGTGTTTGTTTTCTATAATTAATAAAATCGACATTTAAGCTATATTTAAAACATTATACACACCAAAATTAATGGTGATTAAAATCCTGACTCATATAAATTGTTAGTTTATTAACACCAGAGTGATGAATGTAAAGTATTTTCAAAAAGACTAGTAAAAACCGGCATTCAATAGATTTTATTTATTTACATTATAGTTTTTTTTCCGATATGTTTATCACATGCATTGCGGTTTAAATATTTTTCGATACATACCTTTCTACTGCGGTTGAATTATTATTTGATCAAATAATTACACAACGTTGCATAATTAATAAGTTATTTCTATTTATTTATACGTTATTAATGTGCCGAATTTTGGAGAAATATTTATAATATGCTTAAATAACTTTCGTCATAATTAATAGAAAATAATACATGGAATTGTTAGAGAAATGTTTATGGAATGGATAAGTTATAGTAATAGGCCAAAAATCGAAAATGAAAATATTTGCATATCTTCACGTTTCAGCGGTTTCGAACATTTTGGCATACCTAAGAAAAAATTGATGTGTGTGTGTGTATGTGCGGAGACAATTTTTCGTAGACGATTTTGGGCGTACGGATGAACCGATTTGAATGGTTCAAGAAACATTCGATTCGTATTGATGATGAGACGTGCTGATTAGTTTTGAAGAAAACAGGTTCAGCGACTTCGGAGACATGGTGCAAAAAGTGTTAAAATGTCAGTTTTTAATAATTAAATCAACCGATTTGAATGATATAAAAAACATTCGATTTGTAATGATGAGGAGAAGTGGTGATTAGATTTGGCAAAGGCAGGTCCAGCCGCTTACGAGATTTAGAGCTAAAGGTGCAAAAAATGCAGTTTTTGGGAGAACTAAGCATCCGATTTGAATTATTTAAAAAACGTTCTGCTTTGTTAACGAAACGTTGCTTTTGAAGATTTTTTTTTTATTTCAATTTTTTTTTTTGTTAATTTGCAAAAAAAAATTTATGAAAAGAAAGTTTAATGCGATCCACGAATAAAACGGTTTAAATTGTTTTGTTTGTATTCGATTTAGAGATACATTATATCACAATTAAATATGTGATCTTTTAGCTGTAATAATCATGAAGTAACTACACATAATTAATACTAATTCTATATTTTTATTAATGCATATGACTTGCTTTATCATTAACGATCTTTTTCAAGCAGTTAATATAAAATCAAACAGTAATCTAACATCGATTATTTGCAGTGACTGTAATTATATAACAATCAAATTTGCGCATCCTCAAAAACATTTCGCGATTAGATAATGGTCATTGTTAACTGTGGGACCTTATTATCCGATTGTTCTTGCTTTGCTGACAAATTGCATTATGTAACGAAGCCTAATGCTACGCTGAATGATGGTCGAATGCGCTTGCTCGTTCTTCTTTGATGGCACTTAAGTCGGATTAGTATTCAATGACTTTTTTTAATTGTTTAGTATAATTGGTGGATGGAAATAATAAGACATTTCTATCTCTAAAAAGGGTATGGGCGTGTTTCCATACAGAATTAGCCCCACTCTGGTATTTAAATTACTTTGATGCCATTTTATAGGTATTTTCGAGAAAATTTGAAATACCAAATTTTAAATCCGTAGCTCATCGTTTGGCCGAGATATCAGTAAAATATGTGAAAGTGGCCCCTTTTTCAAACACACTTTTTGTCGGAAATATGAGAGATATCGAAAAAATGTTACGCCATTCTATTTATACTGATCTTGTCTATGTTGTTCATAACAAATTATTAGTTTGTAAAATATTATTTGTTAGTGCGTGAAAAGGTAAAAATGATTTTTTATTTTCCATTTTCTGCCAGTGCGGTTCCTTTGACTACTTTGAAATTAGCATCATTCGAAAGCCTGTACATTTTTCTTCTGTTATTCAAAATTCATTTAAATGTAGGTGGAACTTCATGGTGAAAAGTTGGAAAAACTTAAGCTAGTACACGCGCTGCCGGTACAAGAACGCCCATATAAGTTGGCTTTGCAAGAGCGACGAGCAAGCATAAGGTTATGTTTACTTATCTATGCATAAGGCTCATCGTTATCGCGCGTCTCGACAAATCCTGTATATACTACTTATGGAAATATTTATTAAAATTCAAAATTCATTTATATCTTGTATATAAGTATATTCATCAGTCATAATAAAAAAGCCAACGCACCGAATAAAAACAATAATATTATTATTTATTATTTTCATTCGCCGTATAAGCTTGTGACTAATATATTCGATGTATAAAAACTTTCAAAACTTCAATACTTTTGATATACTTATGTCGGCAATAAAACGTGTTTTAATTTTAATTCATTACTTTTTTGATTTTTTTACAATGTTTATTATTTTATATAGTTATCATTAAATAAAAAATCGGGTAGGGTTAATCTACCCTAGTTAAAAGTTAAAAACTATAATATATTATTGTTATTTTTCCCATACGATGACAGATTTGCCGTTGAAGGAGCAAAATGGTCACAATGGAGTCATCGTACAGTCGGCCGAGAAAAAAAGCCAGTGGGAGCGACAGAACCTGGTATCAGAAGTACGAGTACTTG